CAGGCAGGGTCCGTCCGTCCCCCCCGCCCCGGTCCCCGCCTCCCGGAGAGCGGGGCTTGGTGCCAGCGCCGGCCGGTTTGGGATAGCTCAGCCCTGGGCTTGTTCGTGCAGCCTCCGAGTTGTTCTGCGGAAGGAGCGCCGAGCTGATGCTGAGCCCCCCGCCCCGCTCCGGCGAGCTGCTGAAGGGGAAGACAAGGGAACGGGACGCTGGCACCAAATCAAAGCGTTCAGCTCAAGGGGCGGATTGAGGCAGGAGTTGGATGGAGACAGGAGTACGAAGGAGCCCGTCCACGGGCGTCAAGCGAAGGTGTCGTTTCTCAAGGAGAGCCGATGCTGCTCCAGGCACGCTGGTGCCTGGCGGAGCTGGAAGACCACTGGGAAGCATCCTGCCGCGTGCCATCGGCACAAGGACTCGCGTGTGCGGAGGCCCCCAGCGAGGGTTTCTCTGGAGCAGGAAATCCCATTTGCTTTATAGCTGTGTATCAATCAAAAGTTGTGGTTTCGGCTGGTCTGTAGTTGGTAGTTTTGATCTGAGTTATGGGATTTAATGTGCAGCCTGCAGGGATTTAAACCCAAGGAAGTTTCCTACAAATCAATTCTGCCGCGAGCTTTAGCCACATCAAATCGTAGCTCGTTTGGGGTAGCTGGCAGGCGCGCTGCTTTGGTTTCCTACCTGCTTCGGCTGTCCTGCCTGAGGGAATGACAGTGCCGAGAAGCTGACTCGAATGACAGCTGTGTTTGGGTGCTAATGCCACAACACCATGTCACAGTACCCTGGGCTTCAAAATACGTGGCCTTCCGATCTCAGAAGTGGCTGCTGATGCTTCCCTTTCTTCCCATTTCAGTGGAAGCTGGACGTCGGTGACTCACTGTATTGATTTGATCCAGTTTGTGTTCAGACTATGACTTTGAATGGTAACACGAGAGGAAGGAATCTAATAGAGGAGAAGTAAGGATCATACAAAGGAGTCCTCCTTTGCAGTGTTCAGGGCAAATTGTTACACTTTAAAAGCAATTAGTAAAGTACACCATTGCCTATTTTCTGACTGCAAAGACAACAGCAGCAGTGCATGAGTTGTCATTGGGTATTTATACCTGCAGAATTTGTGGTGTTTTCCGTGATTAAACAGTGAAACAATCAGGTTCATGAATAAGTTGTCCAAGAATCATGTAACCTGTAAAGCTGTACTCTTTCATAGAAGAAAACCATGATTTCTCATCAGCTTAACTGACACAGAAATCTGGGGAAGACAACTTTGCCCTTCAAAACTTCGGTGGAATGACAGGAATGTCCCTGATTGCCCTTGTCCCTGAATGCAAAGAAGAGTTAATCTGAGGATGAGGGAGCAGTTTCTTCTCCAGATCTGGCATTTTTTCAAACAGTAGGTCTCTAGGACAAACTAAAGCCCTTGGAAGAGACATTTTCATCACTGTCTGTTTTAAGTTGTCTCTGTTTTAGAAAATCTAAACTGAATGATTTAAACACAGTTAATTAATATGCAAAAGAACCTAAGTTGGGTCTTTGATACATAAGTGTTACAGAATCACTATTAAACGGTGCTTTTGTGGTAGGAAGTGGTATCTGAATTTGTCATCAGAAGCCTCAAATACATTCATTTGTTTATTTAACGAAGCAAAAATGTACAGGTTACATTCTCTCTGGAAGTTTTCCGAAAGCTTTGCTTTAAAAACTACATACTCCCTAGCAAGCATAAAAATGAGAGAATTGGCACTTATGCTTGATTTTAAAGATGAGTACCAGGATCACAGCTACATCTGAATGAGCAGCCTCTCTGCAGCCCTGCACAGCCCAGCTGATTTCCATCAAAACCAGTGTGGGCACAAACCCCCTTCTGTTCGGAACCACTTATTGGGTCAGAGCTCCATTTTGCAGTACTAATTTGTGATTACTCTGGGTAGGTGAAATACCACCCCGATACAGTATCTTGGTGTGAAAAATATTTAGTTATCCTTGGTTTTCACAACAGGAAAAAATACCAAACGATTCAAATTAATCTCAGTGCCAGATGGAGTAACATCAGTCAAAATACGCTCAAATCTTTTGCTAACAGCCAAACGTATCCAGTTGCTTCGGAAAAAAAAACCCCACAGCACTACCAACATCTTCCTGCTAAGGTCTAATCTGTATACTTGCACTTTTTACTAGTCTAAGTACAAGAAATGATGGGCAGAGTTTAGTACAGCATAGCTACACTGGTAACAGGGCTTCAAGCAACCTGGTCTATTGGGAGGTGTCCCTGCCCATGGCAGGGGGGTTGGACTAGATGATCTTTAAGGTCCCTTTCAACATTAACCATTCTATGATTCTATGGAGACAACAACAGTTCAGAGAAAGCGTCAGCTGGTTTTATTGCCCCCCATCAGTTCAATACAGGTATAAGTGCATCAAGAAGCAGACGAGGAGTGTTATAACTGTAGTCAGCCCGGGTGCCCAGAGCAGCAAACCAGTCTGGTGTGGAGTTATCTGTACATAGGAACGAATTGTTAATTTTTTCCCTGTCTTAAACAACACAGAGAGAAAGTAAGACCTCTTCAGCACCTGTATGAAACTAGAAATGGTCAATCAAAGCATGCCCAGGTAGGCAGCAGAAGCCAAATCAACAGGCAGCTCAGCCCCATTCTCCATGTTTCAGTTTCTCCCTTCCCAGAGCCAGATTTAGATTCCCATCCGAAAATGTGCTTCCAGCAAAACAGGAGGTGCGTGGAGCCAGCCTGTTGGGGTGGTGATGCGGGAGGATCCCCTCACCGCTCCTCACCTCCTTGCAAAGACAGCTTTGCTAGCGGGCCACGCGCGAGAGCTGCCAGGGCATGCTCACCCTGCAAAAGCCCAAACTGCTGCCTTGCACACCCAAGTACACTCTTGGTCGGCTGTCGAGGGAGCCAGAAGTTTGTATGGAGTAGGAGGTTTCTCTACCTGAGGCGGCTTGCCTAGCAGAGGGTCTGCGCCGAGCAGCGAGGTAAATACGCCTTGCAGGAGAGGCCGGCTCTTGGGGGCTATCCTACCGGCATGACATTGTCTAATTTCCACCTCGCTTCCTTTTTCCTGCACTAGGTGACCAAAGGGAGCAGCAGCATCACACACAAATACCCTGAGGTGTGCATAGAGAGAGCAGCAGCTTTTAAGTTAGATGACCACGTTGATGAGCTCCTTTTCCCTCCTGCGGGTGATGTCACCGAGGAGACTTGATTAGATGGCAAAAATCAACAGGAATATTTGCAAGGAGCCGGCCCACCACTGCCAGCGATATTAATCACCGGGGCTGCCCCAGTGGCAGCAGTAAAGGCTGAGGTGAGCAGCGAGAGCGCCTGTATAAGCTGTGCTGCCAAGCTCCGAGACAGCTCTGCAAGAAACACGGTCATCCATGTGTTGTTGGAGATGCCGGTGCTCATATTCTCAGGCTGCCAAAGAGACAGGAGATTGATAAAGTTAATTTTAAGCAAACATTTCCTCGCGCCTAGTATGCTGAGGTGGCATGTTTTTTAGATGTCTCAGCTATGGCAGCAGGAAGAATATGTCGGGCTTTGGGAAATGTAGGACGTTAGCTGTTAGCATTTTTTTTTTTTTTGGTGTCCTCAGCAGTTCACAATTATCAAAAAAGGGGCAAACCTCTTGCCTCCTGAAGTAAAAGCTGCACAACAAAGTTGTGGATGGAAGGAAATTCGTACTAGAACAAGCACAGGAAACCACAGAGCTGCAGAAAGGATGAGTTAATGGAAAAAAAAAGGGTTGATGTCCTGATACTGGGTAAAGGCTGTGGAAAACTACCAGCTCACACTGTCGAAGAGTATGACTGCCAGAGAGTGTCCTCAGTTAAGCCGTAGCATGCCCACTCCAGGCAACTTCATTCCACAGATATTACTGGAGGCAGAAATTTCCCTCCATCTGCAAGAACAATACCTTGCCAACCAGGCATTTTTCTAAACAATGAAGTAAGAGCATAGAGAAAGCTCAGTTTTCACCAGCTGGTTAAAATTAATACGAGGCCGGATTTACTTTAGTGCACGCAGTTGAGGGTTTTGTGTGCACGCTTGTTTTACATGTCCCTGCTGCTGCGTCTCCTCAAATTACACAAGGGGTTGTTGTCAGAGGAGCTGAGGATGGGAAGCCCGGGGGAAGTGAAGACAAACCATAATCACAACATTTTAAATAAGGCTTGTACAAAGGGACGGTTGCAGAGAG